AGCACCTTCGCAGGACTTTTCAAATTGATGACAAGTTGTGCACAAGTTATATCCTCTGACACTGAGCAACAGGAAAGAGACCAGCGTTTCAGGAGTAGGACATGGCGTCAGCTACAGGAGCCCTTTCTCAAGGAGTGTGCTGATGTATTCCTTGGATGAATCAGTCCCAGGGCCCTTTCCTTTAGATGTGTGAGTGAGGGCAGATGCCTCTGTGTCTGAAATAGGGGACAGGCATTGCTAACTAAAGACGGGCCAAGTGACTAGAGGATTTGGGAATTACACAGCTCCTCCCATAGCAAATCCATTGTATTTTTGGACAACGAAAGAAGGAATGACTTTTAGACCCAGGGAAGCCTACTCAGTATCTAGTATTTGTTATTCCTTGTGTGTCTAGCAAAGCATCTCTAAGATTTGGTTTCTTTTCCTGATACATTTGGGGAGATGAGAAGTAAATACATTATTCTCAGTGAACTAGATATAATGTCGCACCCACGATCCCATGACTCAGAACCAGTATTTAACTTAACAAAAGAATTCTCCAAAATAATGATCTTCTCTAACATATTTAAGGCTATTTGTTTAGTGATCATCTCTTAATTTTCAAATGTAAAGGTAAAGTGATGAAACTACCACTATTTGAAAGACATGAGAAAAATAATATGACTTGTGTCTAAAAGTGTAATGGAAATGAGTTAAAACTTAACTGGTTTACAGAAGCTAGGACATTAGCTAACCACGCGCCACCTGCTGTTTTTGAGCATTCATCAGTGAGTCAGTTACATCAAATAGGTACCACTGATGCCGTATTATAAAAAAAAACTTTAAGGGACCAGTGTCTTTGCTCCTTTGATTCGTGTCAGGGCAGGGTACACAAGGTTTATTGTAATAGGACTCTAGAAATTCAGACTGAATTCAACATTCTCTCCTTTCCTTCCTGCCCTCTGCTGGAAGTTTTCCTTGGAGCCAGAGCCGGAGACAAAGGGAGCCCGGGGCCCAGCAGCCTCAGCTTCCTCCCATTGCAGAAATCACACTGACCACAGCAGAAAGGATGGAGTGGAGTGACCTTGGCTTGGGTGGGAATTGCAGCAAGGTTTTATTAAGAGTTTTCTAAAAGAAGTTAGTGTTTTATTTAAAAATTAGATACCATTTATGTGAATCCTCACCCATAGATAGGGGACCACAAATAGTCTTTTCACTCAGTTCCAGTGAATTTTTTGTTTTATTTCAAATTTTCCCCTAAATTATCTTGACTGTTAAAATTAGAGGATTGACTTTCATCCCCATATCTATTAATGTTATAAAGAATAATTCACATGTGCTATGTAGAATAATTATTAAAGAGGAATAATACAAAATCACGTGTCCTCTCTGGAGTGGTGATCACTTTGTCTTTCAGGTTTTATATGTGGATACACATTCATATTTTATTTAAAAGTCGTTGTATTTAATTGTTTTGCAATCTGCTTAATATGCTCTGACCATCTTGTCCTGTAAATAACTGTCCATATTTAAAACACACACACACACACACACACACCCCCATGTATACACAGACATGTCGCTCCCTCCAGTGTCTGACCTTATCATTTTGGTTCATCTTTGTCAATTTTTCTTTCCTTTTTCCTTCACCTGTCAGTTCTGAGACCACTGCTCTACTGTTGGGGGTGTTAATTTTAAAAAAAGAAAGTTTTAGTATCTAGCAGGGCAGATCACCCCCCACCCCCAAATTGCTTAATTAAAAAAAAATTTTTTTTTTGTTATTGTCACGCATTTTCAAATGAGTTCATTGCATTTTAGAAGCTCTAGAAATAATTCCTTTGGGATTTTCTTGGGGTTTGCATGAAAACTGTAGGCCAACTTCATAAGACTTCAGCTCTTCAGTGAGAATTCTGTCTTGTCATCCAGGTACACACTGTATCTTTCCATTTACTTTGCTCTCCTCTGTCCCTCAATAAAGTGTTTTTGTTTTCCGTGTAGCTAGTATACACACATCTGTTTTTGTTCATTATTAACTTTGAGAGCTATGGACTTGCCCTTGTTTACAACTTTGATTGCATCCCCTAAAGTTTAGGTTTGTACTATTTGTATTTTCATTTTCTAAGTGCTCTGGCTGCAGTTTGATTTCCTCTTTTACCCAAGGATAGAGAGTATTTATTTTTTTAGTTCTGTTTTTTTCCCTCTTGCTTTGCTCTTCTTATCCTTTGTTATTAATTTCTTGCTTTATTTTCTTGTCACCTGAGAATAAAGAGAATTATTCCTGAAGTTCTTTTCTGCTTTACGTTATGTCTCATTCATGTGGTAGGAGTGGGAAATTTTTTCCTTATTCCCTAGATACATTTTATTGTTTTCAAATACTGAATTTTTCCATATTGTCAGTGTTTTCTTCTTGTGAGCTCATATTTATGAGATATGGCTGTGAAGTTCTCCATAGATTTTGTGAGAGCTTGTCCAAATCTTTTACTTTGGACAGTGGTGGGAGAGCTTTTATGTTTTCCATTTTGCTGAATTGGAACATAATTGTCTGTTGGGAAAATGGATACAAAAGAATGCATTAGGTTGGCCAAAAAGTTCGTTTGGGTTTCCTGTATGATATCACAGAGAAATCCAAATGAACATTTTTGGCTAACCCTAGTAATTATTGGCGCAGCTGGGAAGTGCTGTATTTTAAAAAATAAAAAAAAACAGAAACAAAACTTGTTTTCTGTACTTATTAAGGCAGGTACTGCCCGCCTCAGTAACGGGCACAGTTGCCCTCGGGAGGCCGCCTCCAGTACCAGCCTGCCTGCTTTTTCCTTCCAAGTTGTCTCTTCGAGCAGCGGCCAGCGTGGCAGTTCAGGTGTGTTGTTGGCAGTGCTGATCAGGCCGTGTGCCTGCCTGAGATCCCCCTCTGCTCCCCTCAGCCCCAGCCGCCACCGCACTGTGGCCTCCTGCTGTATCCTTGACCGAGGCGGGCTCTTCCTTGTAATGAGTCAGCTCACAGCCTTCACCCGGATCCTCCTGTTATGTTTTACAGAACTTCTAATTTGAAATTGAGGGCGTATTTAATTTTTCTGACCCAGGTGCAGACTGTTCCCCTTTCAATACTCTATTGGCCGTTTCTCGGTGGGTGTTGGTGAGGGAGACGCCTCTCCCTGCATCTCCTTGCCTCTCCCCCTGGCCTTCCCGCAGAGCCGCCCTTCCAACAGGTGCTGCTGGAGCGGGGCCGGCCGCTCCTTATGCTGAATACAGTTGTCAGTAGCTACCTGTCTTTAGTGGAGTGAGACCTGATGTGTGGTAGGAGCCATACTCTCAAGCTTTCACCTCTGATGCCAGTTTCAGACCTGTCCCATCACAAAAGCCCGCACACCCTCAGAGACCGCCGCCTTAGCTCTGTCCTCTGCGTCATGACCCAAGGCAGAGGCTGAGTCACAGCTGGAGGCCGAATCTAAGGGTCGCTAACTGGAGGCAGGCAGCCTTGGTGGTGGTGAGAATTTCTTAGAATCTGGGCCAGTCGAGACGGCTTAGAAGGTCACTGAGCATGTAGAAGAGCTCTATCCTTTGTGTATCTGATGGGAATACAGGACCACAAGTCTTTAGTAAAAGTTCTGCCTCCAGTCTCCACTAAGGATGTTGTAAGGCTGCCTTGCTCTTGCATGGATGACAGAGAACTTTAAACATTTCTGGCACTTTTATGAGACTAAATTCAGCTTATTTATGATGATGGCTACTTATTTAATTATAACTCCCCCTCACCTGTGTTTTTGTGTGTGTGTGTGTGTGCCCCTCTGGCTACTGAGAAAGATACATAAAAATATTAATAATATGAGCTTACTTTCTGTTACCTTTTTTTCTTCCTTTTTTGGAGGTGGGGTATTATACTAAGGTACATTGAAATTGACACTTATAATAGGAATTTAAAAAATTCCATTAAGGAATACTTGTAAAAGATAACTTTCAGAATTATATGTCTAACTTACATATTTTAAGTTCTACATTGTATAAATTATATATGTTGTATGTATTGTTATATATTGCATAAAAGTCTTTTCTTAGAGGATTTAAATTGGATATAGCAAGAAAAAAATTTTTTGATTCCTCAATAATGTGTGATTTCTAGAACCACATCTGAATGTAGAGGGTTTGACCAGTTATTTTTGGTCATAAAATTTATTCAACATATTTTTTTGATAGGTAGCTACTCTGAAATTTCTGTAGAAGTTAAACTCTAAAGCAGATTTCTCTTGTGACGTGCTCAAGTCATTGTTAATTTTTCTTGAGTTAAATGAAAGACTCTTTCTAATCATGCAGCTGAATCTGTGACTAAACTTATTTTCAGAGAAAAGTTCTAAAGTTTTGATTTCCCAAATTACTAAATAACTTAATCCTGGTCAATTACTTGAAGAACTTTGTGATAAAAATCTTTTGGCTAAATACCATACATGCTCTTTTTTCTCTGACTTTTGGTGTTTTGATGCCATCTTGTGGCTGGACTGTGTAATAACTTCAATACTGAAACATTTTAAACGGTGTCCTGGACAGGATACGATAGACTGGAGATACTTTCCAAAATGCGAATCATGTGCCACTTTAAGTCTGTATTTAAAATATTGAGAGTGCTTTCTCTGTTACTTGGATTTGTGGACACAGCGGGAGGAGAGGGTGGGACGGATTGAGAAAGTAGTGTCGACATATAGACACTATCACGTGTGTAATCGATGGCTAGTGGGAAGTCGCCGTGTAACACAGGAATCTCAGCCTGGTGCTCTGCGATGAGCTAGAGGGGTGGAATCGGGGGTGGGAAGTGGGAGGGGCATTCAAGAGAGAGGGAATATACGTATACACATGGCTGGTTCATGATGTTGTACAGCAGAAAATAGCACAGCATCGTAAAGCAATTATCCTCCAATTAATTATTTTTTAAATTTGTTTGTTACTTGTTCAATGTCCAGGCAAAAATAATAAGAAGTTTAACGTATAGCTCTTGGTTTTTAAAATTCTGTTTTTATGATATTTGCCCCTAGTTGCTGCTGTTTGAACGATCTTGGATGAGCAGATGGAAGTCTTCAGTTCTGCATGAAGGGGAAGGGAACATAAGGAGTGTGAAGTGGAGGGGCCATCTGATCGCCTGGGCCAATAATATGGTAAAAATGCATCTCCATGTCTCTAAGGCTTGTTCAGAGCCAGAAGGATGGCCAGATCCAGAGGGCTGTGACAAAGGGTGGGGATGCCACTCTCCCACCGCCACTTCTGAAAGGTGCATGTGGCGATTGATACCATATCCGGAAGGGTAAAGAAATTAGATTGCTTCTGGCTTTCATCACAGAGTAATTTCCAACATATTCTGGAGTCTATTTTAGAGGGAGAAACCCGAGGCATGGAGAATAGCCAAGAAAATGAAAAGGCATCTTAATAATGGAAGGGCTGCAATGGGAACATGGTTTTGAAAATACCATTTGCCTATTAGCCAAGGGCAAGTGCCAGTCGATACGAAACAAGGGCAGGATATTGCTGATTTCTTTTACTCCCAGAATAATCACAGACCCAAAATAGGCCTGCCTTTGAAAAAGTGGATCCTAATTTTTGATGCTTCACTTACCTCAGTTCAATTCAGTCACTCAGTTGTGTCCGACTCTTTGCGACCCCGTGAATCGCAGCACACCAGGCCTCCCTGTCCATCACCAACTCCTGGAGTTTACTCAAACTCATGTCCATCGAGTTGGTGATGCCATCCAACCATCTCATCCTGTGTCATCCCCTTCTCCTCCTGCCCTCAATCTTTCCCAGCATCAGGGTCTTTTCAAATGAGTCAGCTATCCGCATGAGGTGGCCAAAGTATTGGAGTTTCAGCTTCCACATCACTTACCTCAAGTTTAGTCAGTATGAGTTAGCGCGAATAGAAAGTTTAAAAACTACCTTTAGGACATCTGGCATAGCTATAGCTTTTGGAATCTTGATGTACAATTTTGCAAATCAGTGCTATTCCTTTTTTTTTTTTGCCATGCTGCACATCATGTGAGATCTGTTCCCCGACCCAGTATCGAACCCATGGCCCTGGCGTTTGGGATTCCCCAGCTATTCCATCTTGCATGGTGGACACCTCCCAGAAGCTGCTGTGCTAGTTGGGACTTTTCCTACGTCTCCTGGGTCAGAGTCATGGTCAACAGATGTTTGGCCTCTTGGTTTATTTTCATTTAGCTGCTTGCTCAATGTTTCTTGATTTGAGTACTTTAAAATGTCAGGTGTAGTTTTCTTTACCTAGTGGGTTTTCAGATTCAGAACTTTTCTGAAAACCAAACCCCATACTTGAGGTGTAACAATACATATATAAATGTTTCTTGTCTGTCATTTTGGAAACGTAGTTGCTGATATCTATACATCTACCATTTGTGTTGCCTGTGCCACCTGCTCATAAAATATTGTTTGCCTGAGAAGAAGGATGGAGGTTTCCTTTTGTTCGGGGTTTTCACTGAATTCGTGTGGAGTCAGAATGTTTCTGTGGTTCCCAGTGGCACCCGATAAACACTGTCAGGACTTTGCAGTGCTCGTTACCACTGGTGTATAGCAGTGGCCGTTATTAAGTTGCCTTTCACTTTCCTTCTCTGGAGTCAAGGATGCTTAGTACTACTTTATTTTCCAGGGCGTGAAGATTTTTGACATCACCTCAAAGCAGAGAATCACAAATGTGCCCCGGGATGATATAAGTCTTCGCCCAGATATGTATCCCTGTAGCCTCTGCTGGAAGGACAATGTGACGCTGATCATCGGCTGGGGGACGTCCGTCAAGGTGGGTTTACTTGTCTTTCTCATGAGTGCATATTGTTACAGAGCTACTGACGATGGTCCAGAGGAATGAGTTCCTCTGTGTGTGTGTGTGTGGACCATTTCTGAAGTCCTTATTGAATCTGCTATGGCATTGCCTGTGTTCTGTGTTCTGGTCCCTTGGCCCCGAGGCATGTGGGATCTTAGTTCCCTGACCAGGGATCAGACCCGCACCCCTTGCATTGGAAGGCCAAGTCCCAACCACTGGACCTCCAGGAAAGTCCAAGAATATGAGTTCTTGAATGGCTTCTCAGAGCCAAAATATTTCCACCTGCATATTATGGTCGTGGGATAAGTGTGAGTTTTCAGATCTGTCGTTTCTCATGACCTTATCCATGTTCAGAATGGTGCAGCCTTTCTGATCTTTTTTTAATTTCCTGTAACCCAGTCTACCTTAGCTGTTTATGGAATATGTGTTGTGTTGCTGGTTGACCTGGGTCCCTTTTTTTATGTTTCCTTCCATTTCCCTTAGCTTTGATCCTGAGCTTCTTCAGTAGAACTGATGGTGGAAAAAGAAGGTTGAAATGAAATCATCCTGCTTGCTCGCTAGTAGTTTGGTGGAGTAAAGGCACAGGCTTATTATGGACGATACGACTTGGGGCTGTTTTGTCACATATGTCGCCTGCCTTTTATATGCCTGGGTAAATGAAGCTGTTCTGCAAAATGAGGCCCAAAGTCCATTCACCTTTATTTTGTACCTAATAGCGCTTGTCTTGTGTTAGGTATTTCAGAGCAAAAGTTGTTTCCCTTTAAAAATATATACATTCATCTAAATAAAGTAAAACTTAGCTGAGATAAAGATGTGTAAGAAGATATCCCAGCAGTAGTCTAACGGAAGGGCTCAGGATGTAGAGTCGCAGGACCTGGAATCCATTCCAGTTTTCCCACTGAACTTCCTGTGTGACCCTCTCTAAGCCTCACTCTCCTCATCTGCAAAATGGGAGCACTGATAGTTCTCACATCACACATTTTGGGGCAGTTTAATGAAGAACTTAGTATAGGATCTGGCATACCATGCATAGGAAATGTAAGCTGTCATAGTTAATGTCAGAAAATTCCAGAAAGGTCATGAAAGAGACATGGCTATTGAAAATTCCTCTGTGAAAAAGAAAGCATAAAAATTATTAATGTGGTGATTGTTATCATCAAAATAAGCATTATTAATTTGAGGTATTTCTAGTTATGATTGAGGTTCTCTTTCTTAATAGAACATGTGGTAATTGTTTCCATATGTTAAATGAACACAACAGTCACATTTAAGGTAGTAAGAAGGAAGTTGTACCTCAAAGTCAAGGACAAAAGCGGGCTTCCCAGTCTCCCTGTCCCAGTACTGATCCAGTAAACTGATGTTCTTGATGGTTTTTAAGTATCTTAAATAGACCAAGTGGCTTTTTCCTTTGTTTTAAAGTTGGGATTTTCTTTTTTTTTTGGTGAAAGAAAAGGGAAACTAGCCTATTGGGACATGAAAGAAGTTCGATAATTGCTACTGGAAATGCTTCCTCCATTAGGCTGAATTATGGTCCCCAAGATAGCAATCCTGATTCCCACCACCTATAAATGTTTCTTTATGCGGTAAAGAGCCAAGCAAAAAGATGTGACTAACTAAGCATCTGAAGATGAGGAGATTATCCTGCATTATCTGTTGTTGTTATTCAGTTACCAAGTAGTGTCCAACTTTTTGCATCCCCATGAACTGCAGCACGCTAAGTTCCTCTATCCTTCACTCTCTCCCAGAGTTTGCTAAAATCATGTCCATTGAGTCAGTGATGCCATCCAACCATCTCATCTTCTGTCACTCCCTTCTCCTTTTGCCTTCAATCTTTCCCAGCATGAAAGATTTTTCCAATGAGTCAGCTCTTCGCATCAGGTGGTCAAAAGTATTGGAGCTTTAGCTTCAGCATCAGTCCTTCCAGTGAATATTCAGGACTGATTTCCTTTAGGATAGACTGGTTGGATCTCCTTGCAGTCCAAGGGACTCTCAAGAGTGTTCTCCAACACCACAGTTCAAAAGCATCAATTGTTCAGCGCTCAGCTTTCTTTATGGTCCAGCTCTCACATCCATACATGACTAGTGAAAAAGCCAAAGCTTTGACTACACGGACCTTTGTTGGCAAAGTAATGTCTCTGCTTTTTAATATGCTGTCTAGGTTGTTCATAGCTTTTCTTCCAAGGAGCAAGCATCTTTTAATTTCATGGCTGCAGTCACCATCTGCAGTGATTTTGAAGCCCAAGAAAATAAAGTCTGTCACTGTTTCCATTGTTTCCCGATCTGTTTGCCATGAAGTGATGGGACTGGATGCCATTTATCTTTGTTTAAGAATGATGAGTTTTAAGCCAGCTTTTTCACTCTCTTTCACTTTCATCAAGAGGCTCTTTAGTTCCTCTTCACTTTCTCCCATCAGAGTGGTATCATCTGCATGTCTGAAGTTGTTGTTATATCTCGTGGCAGTCTTGATTCCAACTTGTGATTCATCCAGCTCAGCATTTTGCATGATGTACTGTGCATATAAGTTAAATAAGCAAGGTGACAATATACAGCCTTAACCTATTCCTTTCCCAATTTTGAACCAGTCTGTTGTTCCATGTCTGGTTCTAACTGTTGCTTCTTGACCTGCATTCAGGTTTTTCAAGGGACAGATAAGGAGGTCTGATATTCCCATCTCTTTAAGAATTTTCCACAATTTGTTGTGATCCACACAGTGGATTGTCACAAAAAAGACTTTAGTATAGTCAATGAAGCAGAAGTAGATGTGTTTCTTTTTGGAGGCAGGGGAGTTCCGTTTGCTTTTTCTGTGATTCAGTGAATGTTGGCAATTTGATCTCTGGTTCCTCTGCCTTTTCTAAATCCAGCTTGCACATCTGGAAGCTCTTGGTTTACATACTGTCGAAGCCTGGCATGTGAATGAATGCAATTTGGGTGGTAGTTTGAACATTTTTTGGCGTTGCCCTTCTTTGGGATTGGGATGAAAACTAAACTTTTCCAGTCCTGTGGCCACTGCTGAGTTATCCAAGTTTGCTGACATACTGAGTGCAGCACATTAACAGCATCATCTTTTTGAAATAACTCAGGTGGAGCTATCTGTGTTTATAGTAATGCTTCCTAAGGCCTGCTTGACTTCACACTCCAGGATGTATGTCTGTAGGTGAGTGGCCACACCATTGTGGTTATCTGGGTCATTAAGACCTTTTTTGTATAGTTCTTCTGTATATTCTTGCCACCTCTTCTTAAAATCTTCTGCTTCTATTAGGCCCATACCATTTCTGTCCTTTATTGTGCCCATCTGTGCATGAAGCGTTCTCTTGGTGTCTCTTATTTTCTTGAAGAGATCTCTCTAGTCTTTCCCATTCTATTATTTTCCTCTATTTCTTTGTATTGTTCACTTAAGAAGCCTTTCTTATCTCTCCCTGCTATTCTCTGGAACTCTATTCAGTTGGCTATATCTTTGCCTTTCTTCTTTTCATTTCTCCTCTTTTCTCAGCTACGTGTAAGGCCTCCTCAGGCAACCGCTTTGCCTTCTTGCATTTCTTTTTCTTGGGGATGTTTTTGGTTACCACGTCCTGTTCAGTGTTACGAGCCTCCATCTATAGTTCTTCAGGCACTCTGTCTACCAGATCTAACCCCTTGAATCTGTTCATCACATCCACTGTATAATCATAACGGGTTTGATTTAGGTCATACCTGTATGGTCTGCTTTCTTCAGTTTAACCCTGAATTTTGCAGTAAGGAACTCATGATCTGAACCAGTCAGATCCAGGTCTTGTTTTTGCTGACTGCAGAAATGTACATTGATCTATCAATTCTACCTCTAGGAATTTATCCTAATGAAACAGAAGTCCAAAAGTTTTATATAGGAGCATGTTGATTGTACTATTGCTGGCATCAGAAAGAGATAAGAAACAAAAAACTAATGTCTAAAATAGGATTGATTAAATTCCAGTTCATTCATGTAATGAAATACTATAAAGATATTGAAGAATCATGTAAGGATATTTAAATAGCACATTAAACTATTTGTAGTAATTTTAGGTTAAGAAAAGTGGCTTCTCCAAAAGTGTAAATTGTTAATAGTGTTCAGTTTATTCTGATACAATGTATGATTTGTGTTTTCCCTTTGGATTTTCTGTATTTTAGAAATTTTCATGTTGTAGGTACATTTAGGGATATAGCTATAAAATAATGCAATAAATGCTGTCTAAAAGAAGTTTGTATAGGATCAGTACTTATGACTCAGTCTTTTTTTTTAAATTGAACTGTAGTTGATTTACAGTGTTGTATTAATTTCTGCTGTATAGCAAAGTGAGTCAGTTACATACATGTTTATATATATACACATTCTTTTTCATATTCTTTTCCATTATCATTTATCATAGGTTATTGAACATAGTTCCCTGTGCTGTACAATAAGTCCTTGTTGTTCATTCATTCTACTAACCCCAAACTTCCTATCCTTCCCTCCACTTGTCCCCTCCCCTTTGGCAGCAAGTATGATAATCTCTAGGTCCATCCATGTTGTTGCAAGTGGCATTACTTCATTCTTTTTTAGGGCTGGGTAATATTCTATTGTTTATAGGTACCACATTTCTGTATCCATTCATCTGTTGATGGACATTTGAGGCTCATTCTTAAACTGGACGGCTGAACTATGTAAATTTTTCTCAATTCTTATTACAAAATAGAGTACATTTCCTTCAGAAAACACAGCCAAAAAATATATATATATATATAAAATTTCCATAGTCTTATTATCCTAAAACATTCACAGTTAACACACATATGTGTTATGAGCTGTGTGTGTATATATATGTATGTATATGTATATACACACACACATACATATACATAAAATAAATATATAAAATTTCTGTTCAAACTATATACATATAATTTAAAATATGAGTTGGAAAACTTTCTGTAAAAGTCTGGTGGTAAAGATTTTAAACTTTAAGTGAAGTAAGTGAAAGTCGCTCAGTCATGTCTGACTCTTTGCAACCCCAGAATTCTTCAGGCCAGAATACTGGAGTGGGTAGCTGTTCCCTTCTCCAGGGGATCTTCCTGACCCAGGGATTGAAATCAGGTCTCCCGCATTGCGGGCGGATTCTTTACCAGCTGAACTGTAAGGGAAGCCCAAGAATACTGGAGTGGGTAGCCTATCCCTTCTCCAGTGGATCTTCCTGACCCAGGAATCAAACCGGGGTCTCCTGCATTACAGGCGGATTCTTTACCAGCTGAGCTATCAGGGAAGCCCTCTGCCTGCTACATATTGTTTCTGCCAAGCAATTTCCTTTTTATTTGTTTTTCCTTCCCAGTCTCCCTCCTCTCTTCACTTTTTCAAACCTTCAAAAATGTAAAAATTATTTTCAGCTTACAGGCCGTAAAAAAATAGACCAAAGGCTGGGCTGTCGTTACCATCCCTGTTTTAAATTATGTAATACATTTCTTTTAATGAGCTTGAGAGAAGAAGAGCTTGTGACACTTTTGCAAAGTATTATTTAGCAACAGTGAAATAAATTACTAAAATGTGATCAGAAACACTAGATCTATGTGGGTGTTGCCCAGACTAGCCATTGGGCATTTGGGGCTCTGTGCTTTTGCTGGAGTTTTATTTGGATGATGATTGAAGGAGTCTGTCAATAGAGTTGTAGAAAATGGGTCATTGGAAAGGTCTTAAAACTATATTGACTTCCTTCTTTTCTTTGGCCCTGAATAAAACGTTATTGGAGAATAATATCTCTGGGACCTGGCACCATGCGAGTGGGGCTCTTCAGGTGGCTCAGTGGTAAAGAATCCGCCTGCCAGTGCAGAAGACAAGAAATGTGGGTTCTGTCCCTGGGCTGGGAAGATCCCCTGGAGTAGGAAATGGCAACCTGCTCCAGTATTCTTGCCTGGAGAATTCCATGGCCAGTGGAGCCTGGGGCTACAGTCCGTGAGGTCACAAAGAGTCAGACATACCTGAGTGAGTGAACACACCGTGTTGGAGAATAGAAGTAATGGTTGCTGTATGTCATTGAAATTAGTTTCTATCACGTAAGTCATAGGGTAGGATGTGTGCATCCTGTCTTCAGTGCTACATGGCTAATTTAGCAAAAGTACCATATAGTGAATGAGATGTGATGAAGAGTTTTCTGTCAGATGAATAAAATGACCTGTGACTTTCCTTTCTAGATATGCTCAGTGAAGGAACGGCACGCCAGTGAAATGAGGGACTTGCCCAACCGATACGTTGAAATAGGTATGCCTTCTGTGGTATAAACCTTCAAAAGAGAATCCATGTTATGAGGAGGGGACCTAAGGCCATGTTCTTCAGGGCTCACCATTGGCACCTTGATGAAATAGATCAAGAAGCTTTTGAGTTTCGAAACTTGGCTGTAGAGACCTTTCATCCTAACTCTATTTCGAGTTTTTAACAGTAATTTTGTAATTGGCTTTGACATTAAATAACCATGGGCTTGGGGTTCTGGTTCTATTATTTACTACCTGAACTTTGGACAGATGTCCACGTGCCTCAATATTCCCATCTATAAAATGCAGAAAAGAATATGCGCCCCATAGGTTGTTTGTGAAAATTCCAAGAGTCCATGCACAGCTCATAACACAGTACTCACATTTGGTCCTGATTCCTTATACCTTCTAAATGTTTACTTTCCTCACCACTGGTCTGGTCCAAGCTGCCATGGTCTTTTATCTGGATCACTGCAGCAGACACCTAACTGGTTCATCTCTTTGCACCATGAATTACTGTGCGCTAGTCCCCCGACTGCAGTCAGAATACAAATCAGACAGTGTCACCACTCTTCAGTCCCTTCCCAGTGTTCTTAGATAAAGGTGAGACTCCTTAAGTTGACCATGGGGATCTGCACTGGCACTCACCTGCTTTCCTAACTTCACCTCATAACAAGCGTCTCTTTGGTCTCTGTGTTCCAGCCACACTGGCTTTCTTCCACACACCAATGCTGCTCTCTGCTTCTTCCCGTCTCTCTAGAATGTTTGACTTGCCTCTTTTTGCTTATGGATCCCTTATCACCTTTAATTAAACCTCAGCTCAAAAGTTGCTTTCTTGGGAAAGCCCACAGGCCATCCCTAAGCAGGTCACATCCCCCCGTGATGGACATGTAGCATTTCCCTTTCTGGATGTTGTTTGAGTTGCAGTGATCATGTGATTATTTGGTGCATTTCTGTCCCTTCCATCAGAACTGTAGCCTCCTTGTTTTTGCTCAGTGTTTATTTCTCACGGGCCTGGCACCATGCATGACACATAGTAGGTACAAAGTAATATTAGGTTGAATGAATCAGTGACTCTGGGATACAAGTAACTTGAGTTTTATGACCTAGTGCCAAAGTTATTCATATAGAAAAGGTGAAAACTGACTGACATTTGTCAATTAAACAAATAGAATAAAAACTTTTTGTATTATTTAGTACTGAGCAACAAAAGACAGTTTTGTGACCCAAAAGAAAAAAAAGGTTTGCCATGTTATGTGTCAGGTAAATAGTTTGTTTACCCATTTGGATGGGAGATGAGGAATATACATTTGATGGGTTGTTACAGACAGGGAGAAGCTGAGATAAATCATTTGCATAAGACTGTATTCCTACAAACAGAAAGATATTCCCACCTGGCTAATATGTTTGTAACATTTAAATATTTTATACTTGAAGTCGTAAATTGGTGGTAGGGTTTTGATCATTGTAGTTGTGGTTTGCCTTAGAAGGATAAATGAATATATAAATTCACGGTTTGGATTGCTTGGGGTATGGACAAATAGGTGTATGCAGAATATAATGGTACTGAGAAAAACTGAGTAACCTGATAAAAAGGCAGAACTAGAAGATAACAATAGTTATTTCAGTCTGTCTTCTTTCCTGCCTCCTCCATGCCCACCAGTAAAAAACCTGAAAGTCTCAATGCTGTGTCCCGAGAGATAAGTATGAGAATATTTTAAATGCAGGTAAATAAAAAAGGGCAATAACTCAGAATTTTAGGATGTAAAAATTACCTGGAAGGCATGAAAATGTAGCAGTGTCATCTTTTCTCCTTACTTGGTATTATTACTCAAGTACTAGGTATGGGGTATTGTGCTATGTGTACTATCTGCTTTAGTCCACTTCACCATCACAGCAGCCCTTTGAAGGGCAGGTAGTAGTCGTCTTATTCTATAGATGAAAAAAACTGAGGCTCATGGTGGTAAATAACTCATCCAAGATCTTATTGCTGTACATTAAAATGGATAGACTCTAACCCCACAGAATGACCAAGCAAGGAGACCAGGCAGTTTGCCGAATTCCTGTCTGATCTTGATAAGTACTTTAATGTCCCTGAGCTAGACTTTCTTCACTTGTAAAATGGAGATTAGGGACTTCCTTAGTGGCCCAGACTTCCACTTCAGGGGCACGGGTTCTGTCCATGGTCTGGAAAGTAGATCCCATGTGCCTCATGGTGTGGCCAAAAAAAAAATTTTTTTTTAGTAAAAAATGAAATAAAATGAAGATGATGAGACCTACCATTCCAGATGGCTGGGAGAATTAGGTGTGATGTAAGGAAAGTCTGCAACACACTCCTTGGCATACAGTAGGTGCTCACTGAACCACAGTGGTTATCATCACTGTGCAGACTTTCATCCCAGCTCCTCAACTGCTAATAGCTAGAGCCCTGGGATCACATTATTAAAGTGTAGTTCATCCGTACTGCAATTTCCGTGAAATAGACCATGTGTGGGTACCAACAATATCACATTACAGACATTTTACTACTGTGGTTAGTGGTTAAGTACCATTTTTTTTCCCCTCTTGAGAGCAAACCTTTAAGAATATAAACCATTTCCACAGCAGGAGGCAAAGTGGTTTGGATAAGAGTCCTTGACTAGGATAAAGGAAAAGAGAAATATTAGCACGTTTGGATTACAATTTGCTTTAGCCCTAGACAGTATAAGCCACTGTTCTTTACTCAATGAGGTGAAAATGGCATTGAAATGAAAGAAATGTCTGTGGCTGTACATTTCTTAGAAGCCAGATGTTTATAGCTCTTCCTTACAAGGCAGAATCTCAAAAACAATGTAAAAGTTATTCCTCTCAATAAGATATTAATTTATTCTTGTAAGCGAAAGATGATAGTAAATATGAAGCTTACTAGCCAGTCTCCAACCCATGAAGACATAAGGTTACTTAAGACTTTTTAGATGTCATTTATTCTTCCGTATTACAGTGTTAAAAATAAAATATGTTGTGGTCCATGACTGCTTTACTTATTTTAACTTAACTTGGGTATCTTGTCACGGGACTCCCTAACCCTCTGGTATTTTTCATAATAAAATGTTGGGGGAAAATATTCAGTACAGAAGAATTAGTAGATTATAGAGATAATCAAACTGAATTCTAACAGAGCAGAAAACCATACAGAGCTAGATCCTTAAGCACCAACACCCTGAACTGTCCTGATTACCATTGAGATTTGGACACAGAGATGAAACTTTTCACCACAGTCATCCTTGGTCCTAATGGAATGGTAATTGGGAGCTGATATTATATTGTTGGGAAATGAATCCAATATTGGTGTGTCATTTGGGGGGCATCTCCTGTCAGGGGCAGATAATTTACATGCAAGGAATTAACAATTAACTCCCTAGTCTTGATCTCATGTGGGAATTTGTTTCAAAAAAATAATAAGAGAAAATCTATATGGGAAGCTGTGTAGAATGGGAGGAGCCAGGAAGATAGGGAGGAGAAAAGCAAGGGACATCTTTTTCACTTTAATTAAACAGAGTCCATATCTTATATGCTGTGTCTCTATTTAGTACATTGTTCTGTTTTCAGCCTCTTGATTGGGAAAACAGTGACTTGGAAATTGAAGGGCTTTTTGCATAACATAAGAGAGCTATGAAATTAATACCTTTCTTAGACCTAACTGTCTCTCCAGCCACCTGTTAGCGTTCTGACCCAGACACACTGGTTCCAGCAGTGGGACAGTTCTTCTGTGCACGAGAGTAACAAGGTTTATCTCCATGTCCCAGTCTAAGCAGGAATCAGGATAGTTCAAGGTGTTTTGCTTACAGGTTTAACTCTCTGTGGTTTCTGTTCTCTTAGAGTTTAGTTCAGTTCTCTCTCATCTATTAATTCTAATCTTCTGCCCTTAATTTTTTCCCAGCAGTTTATTATGACAATTATTAAACATACAAAAAAGTAAAGAATTTTACTGCGGGTTCCCATTTACTCACCTCCTCGACTCACCTCCTCGATTCTGCAATTAAGGTTTTATTGTGCTTGTTTTATTACGTGTCCGTTCCTCTGTCCATTCCCCCTCTTCCTTCTCACTCAGTGCTGGAGGCTCAAATGTTTCTTGCAAGTAGAATGAATAAATTTTCTCCACAGTAAGAAGTGGTAAGAAATCTGAAGCACCTGAAGTAAGAAGTGTATTTTGTTTATTTTATAATCACCACCACCAGGCACATGCTACATGCATTACAAACAGAATTTCATTTAATCTTCACAGTGATTCCAGTGGAGGGGCTTGTTATCCCATTTTACAGGTGAAGAGGCTGAGGTTCAGAGGGATCAAGTAACCTGCTTAAGATGATGACTTCAAAAGCAGAGAAGGCAGCATTTGAACCCAGATAAGCCTAGTGTCAAAGCTGTTGCCTCTTAACTGCTGTGCCATGCATTCTTTCCTGCATGCCTTCAGCCTAACCCCTGCCCTCATTTGCAGCCAGAGTAACTGATGAAAAGCAGTTTGCTCTGGGTACTCGGATACAAACCATGGGGTAGAAATTCTGTGAAGACTCTAAATATGCCAGTGAGGACGTCTGCTTACCTGTTCTTCAAATAGCCAGATAAAATGGAAATGCAGTACATTTGTTTTTGTTTTTGTTTTATTTGGGGTCAGTGAAGTGTCTCATTTAGAAAAGTAGAAATGTTATTTCCCCTTATTGTATTCTGGGACTGACAGCCTGTCATTTTTTTCTCAGAGAACTCTAGAACCTAGTTGCCTTGGATCGCTAGTCAAAATTGTTTCTGAGGAAAGGGAATCACATCCAGACTGGGATGGGATTCTTGCAGCCCTTTGAAAAAGAGGAAAAACTCTTATGTGCGCTTTCTTAGTGTTTGACATAAGTTTAGTTGGTGCATCAAGGTAGTTCTGGAAACTTTTGTGGGGGTGCAGGTGGTTAGGTCTCTGAATTTTTTTTATTTTGTTATGGTAAGAACACTTCACATGAGAGCTACTGTCTTAATAAATTTTTT